ACCTCTTCCACGTGGCGGGTGTGTTGTCAGGCTGGGCAGCAGCACTGTGCAGGGGCTCTCCCAACGTCTGTGTGGTTCCAGAATTGATCCTCTAAAATAACACATTTCCTGGCTTCATCCTCTGAAATAACACTCACAGTTCTGTGTGTTCCAGAATTATTCTTCTAAGATAATAGAATTTTGGGGGGAAATGACAATGGAAAATACCAAAAAAGACTTACTGCCAGCATTGACCTCCCCAGGTTATGCTTTAGAGGTGTGCACACAGGGTGATCGCAGTTAGCTGCTGAAAGAACAAAACCTACCAGTGGCAATACTAGAAACCTGTTGGCCTTGTTAATATTGTTTCATGTCCGTGTTATCTGGATATGTCTCTTGTTTTGTTTGTTTATTTGTCTGCAGCAAGTGTCAGTGATGACCAGACTCACTTGCTAGAAAACTGGAAGTCAGTTTATCATATTTCAGTATTAGTTTCTCTAGGACAAGTATGTCCACAGGCTTTTGTGCTCCTTAATTACTACAGAAACTCTCTGCAGTCATGTGCCCAGTGTAACATACCTGGACTCCAAGGCTCGTTGCAGTAGCCTGACTTCCTTCCTTGTGAGGTGAAAGCAGCACTTTGCTTTCAGTACTTCTGTGGTCTGAGAGGTGTCGCAAACCACACACAACGCTGTGGTGCTGCCAGATGTCACCCTCGGCATCTTGGGGTGGGGTTGGATGCAGCACTGCCTGTTTTGCATAAAGCTTGTTCTCAGGTGCGATTTTCACAAGAACAGCTCGTTTGGAAATCTGTTTCCTCCACAGATGTCCATTGTGGTAGAGGCTGAAACAAAACCTTGGGAGTAGTGTCTGAAAGGTGCATTTAAAATCTGCACAGACTCTGTTCAAGTACTCACAATTTATTTAAGAGCATCTGGAGAAATGAGGATTGCAAAGTGCCAGTGGAAGTGATTGAAAGTTAGGCCTTTTGAGAACTAAGTTGCAGCAGGTGACTAGAAATAGAACTGAGTGCTGACTGCAGGTGCACAGCAAGAACAGAGGGCCCTGCCCAGAACCACCTCAGCTGGCTCATCCTTCAGTGCTGGTTTCCTCCAATCTTACGTCTTCACAGCCAAAGGTTAGGAGGAGCTGAGTTTTCTGATCTCAGTATTAAAGATTTCAAAGGGTTTTCTCCTTCAAGACAAGCTCTGGTGTCCCTGGAAGGTAAAAGCTTAGCTCCAGGTAGGGCCAGAGAGAAGACTTGAGCCAGCCAACAATGGACAAAGAGCTGCTGCTTTCTGCACACTGCTCTTGCAGTCCTTGGGCCTTCCCTAAGGCTCCAGGGGCTGCAGCAGTGAGGACTGCATCTGCCTCATCTGTGTGCTATACACAGCAAGTTGGCTCATGTCCTTCATGGGTTATCCTGGCAGAACTTCCCAGGTTGCCATCCCTGGTGCTGGGCCTACCAGGTACCTGCAGACAGATTGGATGTGGTGCTGGGACAGATCCTCTTGCAAAGCCCACAGTTACAAGGGGGGTGGGTGTGTTGGAATGAGGAACTGAGAGAACTTTCATGCAGGGAGTCTGTTTTAAAGGAAGAATTGTTAGCATGGAGTCTATTCCCAGGGATCAGCATTGCATCCAAGCAGGTGCTGTGACACTGCAAAAATGCTTGGATTTCTGATTTAATAGTGGTAATGAGTCTTGTGCAGGCTTATCTAAAGCACAGTTGCCACTTGAGCTGTAGCAGTGTTCAGTCTGTGAGTCAATACACCCAGTGCAGAAGGTTCTGTGAAGCACTTGAGACTTGTGGTTGGAAAAGACCTTTAAGATCACCAAATCCAACCATCAGCCAGCACCACCACCATGTTCACCACTAACCCATTTCCTCAAGTGCCACATCCACACGTTTTTGAACACCTCCATGGATGGTGACTGCACCCATGCCCCAGGCAGCCCTTCCAGTGCTTTACACCCTAATGGGTGACGCGTCGCACGGTTTGTACTGCGCACCTGGATGGGGGCAGCTGGGTCAACTGGCAGCTGGCAGTTACGGTCAACTTGTAACATTGGATTTTTCACTTTCAGTACCTCCAAAGCCAAGGACAGCACGAGTTCAGGCACTCCTCCCCCGGTGCGGAACGGGGGCCACGGGGGCCCTGCCCCAGCCCCAGGCAGCAGCGCTCAGCTCTCCGTCAGCCAGCCCCAGAACGCGGCCGGGCCCAGTCCCCACGCGCTCAGGAGAGGTGTGTTTGCAGTTGCTTTGCAAGCTGCCACATTGCAACTCTTTATGGACCGCAAAGATGCTACTAAAATAACTTGATCAGTCTTTTCCTGTTTTATACGCAGTGGTTTCACTCACTTGCATGTCCCTAAGGCCTGGCTGTAAGTGCAGCTTTGACTTTTGGCCTCTGTGAGTGTTGGTATCAGTGTCACCAATGCTGTTTAACAGACTCACCCAGAAGTTATTGACCAGTAAACGTGCACACATCTGTAGCTTCCTATCAGTACTGCTTTTGCTTGATAATACACTGATTTATTTTGATAATGTACCTGAGCATTCTTTTATGCTGCTAATTTCTTTCTTTGGGAGTTTGATTTAGAATCCTAGAATGGTTTGGGTTGGAAGGGACCTGATTCCAAGCTCCTGCTATGGGCAGGGACACCTTCCACCAGCCCAGGTTGCTCCAAGCCCCATCCAAACCTGGCCTGAAATACTTACAGGGATGGAGCAGCCACAGCTGCTCTGGGCAGCCTGTGCCAGTGCCTCATCACCTCACAGGGACAGATTTCTTCCCAATATCCCATCTAACCCTTCTCTCTGTCAGTATGAAGCCATTTCCCCCGTCCTGCCCCTTGAGGCCTTCCCGGCACACGATGATGAAGTCTCCCTGTTCTCTCCACAGCTGTGAAGAAGCCAGCACCAGCCCCCCCCAAACCAGCCAACCCACCGCCAGGGCAGCCAGGCAGCCAGAGCTCTCCCCCAGCTGCTCAGCCACCTTCTGTCTCTCCAAAACCACCTGCTAGAAGCTCTTCTCCTCCTGCTCAACAAGCAAACCAAGGAGCAGCCCCAACCTCCTCTTCCCAGGTTTCTGCACCTCGGAGATATTCCAGCAGCGTTTCCCCAATCCAAGCTCCCAACCACCCACCCCCACAGCCCCCAACACAGGCAACTCCTCCACTGCAGCCCAAAGCAAACAGCCAAGCATCTCCCTCCCCTGGCAGCGAGCACGGACCAGAGCAGCCCTGTTACACTCCTCCGCAGACTCCGACACCACCCGACACCCCTCCCCTGGGCAAGCACCCCAGCAGCTCCCCCTTGGCCCTGCCAGCGGCCAGGCCCCCTCTCTACCTCAGGGTGGGACACTGCCCCGGCCACGGCCAGTGCCCAAGCCCAGGAACAGACCCAGCATCCCCCCTCCGCCTCACCCTCCCTCCCAGCTGCCTGGAGATGGGATCGTTGCCAATCCCACGCAAACAGCTTCCAAAATAGTCACAGGTGAGTGGATTCTTCTGTGTTCTGTGTCTCCTCGGGGAGAGAAATGGAGAATATAGTGCCTGTAGCTGGAAATGAGTGTGGGAGGGAAAACTGAGAAGCACAAATAACAGTTAAAACAGCAAACAGCTCATTTCCAGTGAAATGCCCACCCAGCTGCTCTGCACACCTGGGCCTGGGGAGCTCCTCACTGAAAGTTTCATTCCCAAGGCAGAAGAGTTTGGGGCAGGTGGGGAAGAGCTTGTTGTAGTTTTTTCCTGTTTGGAAGCTAAACGCTGATAGCAGCTCTCTGGGGCTGTCTCCAGGCTCAGCATCTTGGCAGTCAGTTCTGCTTGTACATCTGTTGCCAAAAAGCAAATATTTGGAGGAGGGAGAAGATGTGGCCAAGGATAGTGGATTTCAGCACATACTGAGATAAGAAAAGGGCAAAAGTGGTCACTGACACATGTTCTAATAGGCAAAACACACAGAGGATGTTTTACCTTCTGAGAACAGAGTCTTCTGATGTGCTTTTAAGTTCGACATTCAGAAGCTGAAGAATCATGTAAACCAAACTGTGTTTCTTAGGTCAATATTTATAGATCTTCATGTTTTAAATGGAATCTTTCTGGTTTGAGATGGTTGTGAAGTAAAGAGAAACTGTCTTAAGAGAAGCATTGTCTTCTCACAGGAGTTTCATGGTTCTTCTAGTTACTAGTTTGATAGGAATACCTTTCATTTAAGTTAATACAGTTAATTAGTAAAGTTAACTTGATTCTTTAAATGTAATTGCTGAGGCCATTCAAAACTAGCAGATCTTGAAATGTTCCCCTGCTGAGTCCCTGCTCATTCAAGGAAGTTCTTAAGAAAGAGATAATGAATATAGGAGCCTAATGCTTTTAAATCCACTTGTAATTAATAATGGTTAAAGCCTTCCCATGGCACTGCAGCTTCTCTAGAATTAGACTAATGTATTGGAATGCAAAGTACCAATTCTGATGCCTAACAGCTTTACCCCAATGCCTTCACAGGTGGGGATGGTTACTGCGAATAAGGTTTGTACTCACACCATGTGCACTGTCAGCTGAACTGCTCTGTTTGTAGCTTGAGTTTGGACATGCGCTTTGGAGTCTGTGCTGTCAGCTGTACCTCATCCCACCTAGCATCCTGGCTGGGAGAGGTCTCAGCACCTCTGCTGCTGCATTTGAGTAGGCCTGTGAGCATCAAGTTACTCCTTAGCTGGAAAGAAGTAACACTGCAAGTCCCCAGAACTAGTGCCCAGGTCAGGTGTGATGAGCACTCCCTTCCCAACAGGTTTGCTCTCCTCAGTGCAGGCAAATATTACAGCTCATGGTCTTTCCTGCCATTCAGAGGATTATGGTTGCATTCTGATGTAGCTCTCACTTTAGGTTTGTAGTTCTTTTTGACCATATGGAATTTATTTGGCGAAATCCAAGTCAGTATGACTAAGCCCCGTGCAAAACAACCCCAGCAGCACCTGCACTCTGGCATGTTTCACCTGTCAGCCCTCGGCTGCACTAATAGCACCTTCTGCTCAGGCCCAGCTGCCCCCACACCCTAACTGTCCCGTGTGGGGCAGGGATGCTGCTGCTGCATTCCGAGCTGACACCTGCATGGCAGGCTGGAAGAGTTGAGGCTGCATTCCCAAATTACCTCCAGATTTGCCTGTTTACAGCAAAGACACTGAAATTAGTATTGGATTGAGAAGACAGTTGGAAATAGTTTGTGGTTTGTTTTTTTCATTTGGAGAAACAAGTTGCCCACAGAAGCTGTGGCTGCCCCATCTCTGGAAGTGTTCAAGGCCAGGTTGGACAGGGCTTGGAGCAACTTGGTCTCCAACCAAACCATTCCATGATGAAACTAGCAGTAAACAAGCTGCTTAAGGGGGTTTTGTCACTATATTTAAATACATGGGCAATTTATTCCCAAGCTGAATCCAGAAGTAAGGCTGAGCTCTGGATCTTTGCGGCCCTTATAATTCGGTTAAGAACAGGAGCTGTACTGGTGAGTCAAGCTTCAAGGAACGATTAACCTTAATTTCTAAGTGTTCATAGTTTGACCATGTTTGTTTTCATTTTGGGGTTTTCCTGGTCCTGAGGAAGTTGCTTTAATGATGGCAGGTAGGAGAGTTTGTTTCATCCCAGTGTAACTGGAGAAATCCTTGTCTTGTAAACAGCAGCCAGTGGGTGTGCAGGGCTGCTCCATTCCTGGGGGAGCTGGAATTGGGCTAGGCAAGCACCTGCCAGATGGGAGTGATGGGCACAGCCTTATATCTCTCCTTTCAAATGCAAACCATAGCAAATCGGTCAAGTTATGTACTGTAAACACAGCATGAGAGCTCCAGGCAGGAAAACCAGGACAGGAAAGCTGCCGAGGGAAGATTCTCTCTGAAACTGGTCAAGAGACCTAGAAAATATTGTCTGTTTTGCTGAAAACCTCTTGGGGAGCAGTATGTGATACTCAAGCTCACCTCCAGCAGTGCAGGAGGGTCCACCTTTTCCAGATCAGTCTGCTGTTAAAGGATTAATGCTCTGAATTAACACATCACTGCCTATCACAGAGGAGTATCTGCTCTGATACTTACACTGCACATGTAAGCACTCACAGACTCACCTAATTCATCATGTGCAATCACTGGTTTAATTTTAACCTGAAAGAGTGCGGGAAGATGGTTAGGAACAACAGAAGCCAAAATTAAGTTACCAGCATACCTCATAATTACCACAACAGGAATTCTGAGCTGTCTTCAGGATGCTGTTGCTTCCTTTGTGTGCTGGACTTGAGTAATGCCTCACATTTATGGTGTTCAATTAAGAAGCCCTAGAATATTCTAATCAAGAATTTTATTAAACAATCTAGATGTTTGACCAGCATTCTGTAGGAACTGTATTGGCAAGTTCAATGGTAAGGACCAGGCAGATGATTGGCCACAGCTGTCCCCTAACTGATAATCATGTGTGTGCTAACCTTGACTAACCCCGGCAGTGCCCCTGCTTGCTCGCGGCCCACGGGGCATGGCCAAGGCACCTGCTCTGCTCTAACTTACTAAAGTGCTGCACACCAGAGCGTGTCAAGTGTTGGTGTCTCACTGCCCACGGACAGAAATGTAGACACGGTGTGTTTCGTGCGGAGGCTCATTCCGTGTTGGACGTAGCTGTACTGTGCTGTGTCAGAAATGTTCCTTCCCTGTGTCACTGAATCCCAGAACAGTTTGGGTTGGAGGGCACCTCTGGAGATGATCCAGTCCAACCCCCTGCCCAGGCAGGGTCACTTGGAGCAGGTGACACAGATAAATGTGCAGGGAGTGGGACTGGATGGGCTTTGAGGTCCTTACAGCCCAGGCCATTCTGTGATTCCATGACTCAACTTCCTGCTTGGTGTCAGACCAGAACATGACCGAGTTCCAGCTGCTATCCCAGAATGCAGATCCCTGCAGGTTGTGAGGCTGAGAGGAGCAGGGGAGGCTGCACCTGGTGCCTGCTTTCCCCTCTTCCATGTCATTAGCTCAGAAACCTTCAACTTGAACACTTCTAAAGTAACTTCTGGGCTAAATTCAGGCCTTTGTGCTTGAGATCCAAGTCCCAGGCTCTCTGGGGTGCCTGGTGTGCCTCTCTGTTTGAAAACAAGGCCTTTATTTGGATTCTTTATTGACTTAAGTGATCTAAATCACTTTCTATGTGTAACAGCTGCTGGGTTGCAATGAGGGATGTCTTGGCATTTGTAAATCAGCTTTCCAAAATCCTGACAATATTTTCAGTTCTCCTTTTTGAACTGTTAAGGATTTTTCTGGTCTTATAATTCTAGCTACCAGTCAGACACCAGAAATGCAGCATTTGGGGTCCTTCTTGGACACCTTGGCTTGAACAAAATCCTCTCCTCAGAAGGGGCAAAGACCATGATGTGGCTTGTCATACCCTGGAGGGGGTTTAGTCTGCTTTAGGGTTAAACCATCTCTGCCTCGTTTTGACACTATCGATGTCCCTGTTGCTTCTCCAAGTCACAGACAGTGGTAACCTGGTGGATGATTTAGGTGCCAGGTTATTTTGCTGAGTGTTTTGACATGAAAGTCCAGAGTAGCTCTTCAGGGACATTGAGGAGTCTGATCCTAAATCAGACTCACTGACCTCTGTTCTCCAGGAAGAAATGGTTGTCTATTACTTTAGTTACAAGATTAAACCAACATCTGTAGGGGAAGCAACTCCAAGCTGTTCAGTTTGGCTCAGACCTTTAGTGCCCACACCTGCAGGCAGGTGCCCTCCCTCTGTCCAAGAGTCTTTGTTGATGTTTCCTTTCCCTCCTCTAAGGACCCGCCCAGGAATACCCGAGTGACTGACCCAGCCCTGTCCCAGCTGCTAAACTTGCTGTTCCTTTTTTGTGCAGACTCTAATTCCAGTATTCCAGAACCACTTGCAAACCCTCCTTCAGAGCCTCCTACAGAGCCTGCGAGCAGAGAGCTGCACAACCACCTGCTACTGGACATTGACCACGACACGGAGAGCACCGCACTGTGACGGGAGCGCCACGGCCTGCAGGGCTCCCCTCCCGCCAGGAAAACCCTCACAGGGAAAAGCTCCTTCTGGCCATGTGGCACAGCTGCATGGAGTGGGGAACTACTGCGTCCTGGAGATAGTCATTTACACAATCATTCAGGCTGGAGAAGACCTCTGAGATCCTCAAGTGCAAGCTGTGACCAATCTCCAGTTTAGCCACTCAGAAGACGCTTAATGATCTGTGTGTCGACAATGGTTTTCACTCTCTTGGCTGGAAGGAATGGATCCCTGCAGGAACTGGCCTAGGAAGCGCAATCAGTGCTGATCCAGGTGGTATCAGCTGAAATTCCAGAAGAATAAGAAGCAGAACGTTAGCTATTTAAAGTGCATGTATGTGTTCTGGGAATAACCTCGATGTCACGGTTAGATTTGTAGCCCTAGCTGTTAGCCCCTGCCAGGAGCTGCCTCGCAGGAGACATTCCCGCGGGATCTGCTGCACGTTCTCCTCAAACCATGCCCCACACCCTGCCTGAGTGCTGTGGTGACTGCTGGTTCTGTCACCTCAAACTGTGGATGTATCAGTGCCTTGAAGGACTGTCCTGCTCTAGGAGGAACTTCTGTCTCTTTGATCATTTCATTGCTATTACGATCAGTACTTACCCATGGCATAGTCACTGTATTAACCTGCTTGTGTTCATGTGCAACTGTTCCACCAGGAGACTCTGGAAGAGGGTTCTGTGCTTTCCTTGGAAACAGTTGAGTTTTGAAAGAACTCTGAAGCAGTTGTTCGTGTTCAGCAGTTGGGTGAACATTTATAAAATTAAAGATTGTCTTTTGTCAACTTAAGGCATCTTCATTCTAGTTTTGTTGCTCCTAGGGTGCCCTGGAGGTCTCAGTGATCCCTGGGCTGTGTAGCTCAGAGGCACTGGCTGCTCAGCTCGGTGTTCCCTGCAGTGGGAGCACTCTGGGAGTGAGTATACATCTGCTCCTTGATGTGTGGATTCATGTTAAACACACGAGTCCAGCTGCAGAGGGGGACACTGGATGCAGCCTGTGTCACTCAGGGAACTGAGATGGAAGAGGCTAAACTCTTTGTGTGAGAGAGGAAGAGGAAAGTAGGCAATGAGGTAACATAAAATAGTTGAATTAATGTACCTAACCTGTAAATTCCTTAATGCTCCATAAGACATTTTATTGACATTACTAAACTAGACCTCAGGCTTAACTACGAAATAAAACTGCCTTTCGTCAAGGCCTTGACAAGTCACATCGCATGTGTTACAGTTGCTGTCTCTGAGATGCCCCAGCTGGAAATCACGACGGCTGCCTAGTTGTTTCCTGGCCAGACACCAGAGAATCATTTCATTGAGGCTGGAAAAGACCTCAGAGACCATCGAGTCCATCCTTTGACCCATCACCACCACCTTGTCACCTAGCCCAGAGCACTGAGTGCCACATCCAGTTGTCCCTCGAACACCTCCAGGGCTGGTGACTCCACCACCTCCCCGGGTGTTCCAATGTCTAACAGCCCTTTCCATGAGGAAATTCCTCCTGATGTCCAACCTGAACTTCCCCTGAACAGGGAAGGTGACTACTCCTAGTGGGTGTAGACCTACTTTCCTCTATCCCTACACCAGCCCTGTAACAAGTCCTTACAACTAAATTCAGTGGCATGAGCCACAAACTCCAGTGCTGTGACTGAATTGATGTTCATCCCCCAAACTACACTGCACACCCCCTCTCCCTCAGGCTTTCTGAGTGTGTTTCATGTGCCCAGGAAGGATCCCCAAGTGACAATTCTCTTTATATGCTATAACAAAAGTATTTCCTTATTTCATGGGCTGCTGCAGCGTTTCTGGGGATTACTGCTCCGTCCTACCCCTTGGTACTCCCTGCACGTGTGTGCCTTAAGGTTTGTTACAACCCTGCGATATTTAATGTATTCCAGGAAATTCTGTGTCAGGTGGGTATGAAATAGGGCTGTGGAGCGTGGGATCCCCTAAGCCCCTGTCACCTCTTAACAGCCCCTGCCTAGCCCCAGGGGGACCAGCCAGAGAGGCTTTGTAGGGGACAGTGGGAGGCTGTGTGTCCCCTCCAACCAGGCACCCACCTGATGCCACCCTGCCCCTGCCCCCAGCCAGGACACCCCCAGCAGCCTGGGGAGTGGGAACCAGCTCTGGGGAGAGGAGAGGAGCACCAGGGCCACCTCTGATGTGGCTGTGTGGCCCCAGAGCCCCTGAGGGTCTGGTGGAGCCCAGCAACAGCCATGCTGGTCCCCAGGCCCTGGCAGCCCCCCAGTCTCACAGACTCCAGGCAGGCAGGGAGCAGCTCTCACTCTTTAATAAGTTTATCTGCAGCTACACAGGCCCCAGGGCCAGGGCAGGTGCCTGTGCCCCAGCCTGCTCCACAGAGAGGATTCGGTGCCCGGCGGTCGCTGGTCCCAGCCGAGGGATCTCATGGGTAGCTCCCAGAACATCTGTGGGTGCCCAGGCAATGGGCTGTGCCCTGGCAGCACCTGGTGGCTTAGGGCTGGTTGAGGTCGTTCAGGTGTCCCTGGTGGCAGCGTCGGGGCAGTTTCCATGCTGGATGCTGGTGTCGGTTGGTGTCACCATCAGACCATGAGTGACAGTAACACATCAAGAGCTCACGGGATGGACCCATCAGCACTTGTGGCACACGGGGAGGAAGCTGAACAGGCACAGCTGAGCCAGCAAGGCTTGGCAGAGCATGGACAACAGCCCTTGGCCCTCCTGCAGGCACTCGGAGGTGTCACTAGCCCCTCAAGGCTGGAAAAGCTGAACCAAAGGGGACCCAAATGGTTGTAGCTGGTTACAGAGGCATAAATAGGAAGAGAATCCAGACTTCCTGAATTCCAGGCGGTGCTCTAAGCCCAAAGAGCAAAATTAAATATTTAAAATAACAAACAAACCTTCCTCAGCTGGTGGGTGCCAGTTGGGGTCTGACAGTGCCAGTGCTCACCCTGGTCACAGCCAGGTCCCCATTAGAAACAAGGAAAGGATTAGGGAGGAGGGTCTGTCTTCTTAAATAAGGAAATAAAATTTAGAAAGCATTAAGAATAACACTAACCCTCTGCTAATTATTAATATTTACACCAATTAAAATTAGTGGATGTCATCTGTGCTTGTATCCCCATGGCTATGCAAAGTATGCCCAGAGGAAGACACCAGCACACACACATATCAGCAGGTTGATGTTGAGGACATGTTTCACCAGTGGTTTCTCCTCCAGGGAAGCCAAGGGCAGGGGCTCAGGTTTGGCTGGCGCTGTGCTCTCGGTGCTCTCCTGCCTGCTCTCCATCCCACAGAGCCACAGCAAGGTGCTCAGCAGCTTCGAGCTCCCTTTGGCCTCAGCTGC